TGGAGGGAGAGAATTTTGGGGTCGACGATAAACTGAATGGGTGATCGAGTAACGGAGTCTACCATATCTTAACAATATAACAATTATTTATTAAAAGAAGCAAAATAGACACAAAGACTACACAAATAGAGTTTCTAATCGCTTATTTTCTCTAGACAGAGTTAATACGAAGTTATAAAATAAACAGACACAAAATAAGTATANATGCAGAAAACAGTCCAGTAGAAAAATGTAAGTTCCTCCCAGTTTCAGTAAAATCAAGCAATTACAATAAATGCAATAACGTATATTAAGTTCAAACACGAACTGTTGTAGCATGACAAAAATAGTTCCACCAGGAACGTATCGTTAGCACTATTATTATTACTATTGTTATTCCTCACATTCGAAACTTATAAAAAAGATCTAATAGTGCGAAGGAGTTTGACTGCCGACACCCGCCGAGTAGCTTAATGTTTGCCTAAAGTCATCGTAACTGTGGAATCAAATTAAAAAGTTGTCCCTGTCAACAATTACGAGGGTCCATCTATTGGAAGACAGATGTACAGACAATTTTGCTGATTAACTTTTGCGTCTCGGCCATGACAAAGGTCCGGATACTAATTTGATAACACTACATAAATCACGAATGGACATACGCGAGCGATATTGCCATCTAAAAACGAATGCTTTGCCGAATGTACCCGGTGGCGTTTTTAAACTCCTCGGAATCAACTGAACTACCACCTTGTCACCTAGATGTATAGGTTGCGGCACCAGTATTGCTTTTGCAAAATTTGAAACACCAAACTTATGCAATGGGACAAGAATGATCTTCTATCTTTGACCCACAGATTCCAGCAATTTTTTGTTCTTACAGTTTCATTATTATTAATACCCGGGTCAATAGATGCAGGTTTTACTTACTGGGACCACTGTTTTAATCATTTTCTCTGAATTCTGCATCCCCTCTACAAACCCAGCAACGTCGCAAGACATGTGGCAAAAACGTGTTGAATGAAATTCACTGTAATGTGTTAATGTTGCTAAAACAAAAATGAAATTCATTCTTCGCAGTTTTTGTACACTTTGAAATTGGACAAATTAGTGGCACGCAAACTGGAACATTCGCAAATTCAAAGTTTTGTGAATTCTCTTCATTTAGAGTTTGTCGAGCAGAAACAAACAATTGTTTCAGAACGTTTGTAGATTCCTTGCACTGCGTGACGTGGATAGGCACACTCCACATAAAATAAACAATAATAATGAATGGATGCCTGAAAGTTGTTTCGTGATAAAGCAAATCTTGTAGGAAGAAAACGGAAGAAGCGTATCGTTGGGTGTTTTCTTGGTATCCGTTTTGGTGTCATCTTGGGATCGGTTCGTACTTCAGAACGGAAAAGAGGATAAATGGGTTTACTGCGCAACATTTCGTTTCTTACTACTCATGTATTTTCATTGATTTTGGTTACAGAGAAAAATGTCCAAAAAAGTTTTTTCCTCTGCGGGTATCCCACAATTCTTTGCGTTTAACGCACACTGTTTAATGTTAAAACTGCCAAAACGTTTCTCCTTTGCTGTTTCAACTCATACGGTATAATTTTTTCATGTATTCGAGTTTTTGCTTGTATTTGTTATTTTTATATGCAATACTTTGACTCGTCAGCTATACGATAAGCTTAGATATCTAGCAAAAGAGTTCAAACCACGCACACAAATAATTAAAAATAATAAAGATGAAATCGTAACTGATGCGGAGAGAATTGCGGATGACTGGAGGAACTATTGTGAGAAAGTTTATAAAAACACTGGACAAACAAATGATAATAATCAACTTCAGAATGGACGGACAGGGAAGGTTAACCAACTATTCTTAAATCAGAGGTAGAAAAACTTATAACTACATTAAGAAATCGCAAAGCTACGGGACAAAACTCTCTACGACAAAACCGACTTGCTATTTTTTCTCACTCGGGTTCGGACGCCCAATTGTGGATATTCGCCAAATTTAGCAACAACTGTTAGGATTGTGTAAGGATCTTTCTTTCTCAAAACACTAGGAAAAGACTATCTGAGTACCAATCACTTACACTCTTATGTGTGACTCCGTTCTATCGCGCTGTTCTAGCATATAAAAATCTGTTTATATCAAATATGACTCTATAACGTTGAAAAATTAATGTGTTTATGCACTTAATTATTGTTTTAAAAGAATAATATATAAACTATACGCAATCTCCATATAATTACGAATTAAATTATTTTACTTGGTAATTTTTAAAAATAAAAAATCTAAAATTAATGATAATAATTGAGAATTTATTAGTAATTTATATTTGACTTAAATCATTATAATTTTAAATATTAAATAACGCGTGTTATTTTGTTACCAACATTCAAATTTCAAGCTCATATCTAAAATCGAAAGATTTTCAAAAGAACAATCGTAAACTAAAATGTATTTCAACGTTTTTAACATCGAAAATGTTTCTTAAAATTTGCAGTGTACAGTTTGCACAAAAGTTTACTTTTTGATGTGAATTTGAAAGTTTTCTGTGAAATTAATTACTGGAATACTTAATTTTACTACACAGACATATCTATATAAGTAAGAAATGTAAACTAATTAATTTGTCTTTCTTAACTTACGTACAAACATAACGAACTTTCTGCTCTAAAAAGCATTACCTGAGCAGAATTAATTCGTTAGTCGAAGTTTTAATGTATTTGTTGAATGCTCAGTCGTTAAAAATACTTTTACACTTACCTGAAACTAGTTAGAGTTTTTTCTCTTCGATGTAACTTTTCATTGTGTCTGTTTAATTGAATTTTATATCTGAATTTCACGTTGCATATATTACATGAACATGGCAGGTTTTCGGTGGAAATATTTATGTAATTTCTTAAAGCAGTTGGAGTCGGGAAAAGTTTTGTGCAAATAAGACATCTACAGCTTGTTATTTTTGGGTCATGCAACGGAATCTAATTATAGATTGATTTATATGTCCACAATATATTAAAGCATAAAATATAACTGTTTAAGTACGAATGTTTTATTTATGAAAATGAATGTTTGTGAATCGTTTGATATTTTATGTACAGTTTTCGTTTAAGTATTTATATAAACTATTCCATAGAAACGCCACTGACAACATTCTTCAACATAGTATTACCGACATTTGCAATTAAGCATAATATATCATAATTTTAATCTCTTAATTAATAACAGTTAGTGAAAAACACTAGGTTTTGGTGTATTTACTTTGTATAACGGTTTCATTAATTAGAAAGTAAAAACACGTGAAAGATATATGTTTTGTTTCTAAATAGAAATGTCAACTATAAAAATAAAAATTGGAAAGAAAGTTTATTCTAAAAGTTTAAGCTCCTTGCAATTAGTGTTTAGTATTATTCACAGCATTAATTACACCAATATATTTATTATAATTCCGATTTTATAAAGGATTTTAACTTATTTCTTGAAACACTCGAAAAATGAAAGAAATGTTAATGAATTCACAATTTCTAATAAAGTTCTAAACCGGAAAAAAGCGAAGTGTTTACCGAATCTTATAAGATTAGAACATTAATTAAAATTACTCATCAATTTAATTATTTTACGCTTGTTTCTGTAAATTAGTACAGATGCATTGGTTATCATTTTTAAAACTAACTACTGTACATCTATTACATCACTTGATATATTGATATCGGGTATAATAAAAGATATTTCATACAATAATTTAATAAAGTTCATCGCCTTAAGTATCGAAACATAAGGCCAAGAACCCACATGTGTAAGAATGTGTGGCAGACAAGTGAAACAGAAAGTTTCAGGTTCAGTTTCTGTTTTACGCTTTTATGCCAGATTACACATACGTAAACTTCTGGCCGAATAGGAAAAACTACTGCCATTAACAGTGCTAATTTTTGATAATTTTTTTTCCTCGTATATCTATCTCTTTGAACCTTTCATTGTTTCTTTGCTGACTCTGCTATAATTCATAAATTTAAATTGATAGACTTGTTTTCCGAATTGAAATTAACATGTGATCTGAATACAATATATCGCTTCAACTATACCTACCTGTTATTTGAAATTTAGTACCTATGGCCGTCCATATACTTTGTTTAAATACAATTTTTTTATACGTATCACATTTTTTCAAAAGGGCACTAATGTGCTCGAACGGATTCAATAAACTTTTCTATTTCATTTATTTTTCGGTTTTTGGAGACTGTCACAATTGTAGGGCTAACCGCCATTGTCGCCATTATTAGAATAAAAACCACGTGTTTACTTTGACGTCACAAAGCAGACATCTCTTTATTGGTGATGTTTACGCGGGTAAAAAGTAGGGGCAATGCGCGACTTTTTTTTAGTTATTTTTCAGCCAAAATTTCAGATAAATTTTTACGCTTTCTGTAATATGCTAGACTTTACGCCGATTTTTACGCATGCCTGTCCACGGCCTAAGAATAACTTCTCCTAACATTTACGTTAAATAAAAGTTTTTTCTGGTGTCTTGCAAACATGTATTGTTTCAACTAATCTTTCTGTTTAAAACTATATTCACATCCGTTATAATTCTACTGGGATGGCTTTTCATTTGAATGAAATACTTGTAGTACGTTTATGGACTCAGAGTCATAAATAAATAAATAAATAAAAAGAAGAATTTATAACAATAGAAGTAAAAATATAATTTTCAATATATTCCTTATTTCGGCAGTTCAAATACTAAAAAATTGTAGACATTCCCATTCGTGTAAACTCGTACACTCCTACTGAGTATTATCAAACCGTGCTTTTATTCTTACTGTTTATTGTGCAGATTGAGTAAAATAATAATAACTCAAAAATAAATTAAACAAGAAACAGAAATAGCGTTACTATATTTGTTCCCTCACATGCGTTTCTCCAATACAGAAGATATTATATCGTTTTGTGTTTTTAATTATTTTTAGGTACGTGGTCATGCGCAATTATCTATGTTTAATATAACTAAAACATAACAATCAAGGAAATTACATTATTTCGGTGCATTGTTGTTTTCCGTTTTAACGAAATTTCGTCTTAAAATTAAAAAACTGAATTCGATAATTGCATCAAAATAAGTAAAGTCACGATGGTAAGAGAAATCTTTCATTTCATTTGTATAATATATTTTGAATTTTCCAAACTGTTTTATTCAAAATTCACAAAATAACACAAACTGACAATTTCAATTTTATATCGAAGATACAGTACATATTATTAATATTTTTATCATATTATTATAATATATAACAATAATTTATAATAATGTGAATAATTTTAATCTAAGTTTTTTACTAATTATTTATATTTATTCAACGAAATGTTTTAATAGGACAGAAAGCATCAATGCCCGACATGCGGAAAGGAATTTCGACGTAAATATAATTTGCAAGTACACATGCGAATTCACAAGAATTAAAGGCCGTATAAATGCAATTTGTGCGAAAAAAGCTTTACGCAGAAGATTCATTTAATAGAGCACATAAAAGTGCACTCCGTTGAAAAGCCGTTCAAGTGCTATTATAATGGCTGTGGAGAGAGATTTAAATGGAAATCCGGGTTGGAACAACACATGTACTCATTGCATTCTGACGAAATTTTATCTAAAGTAAATATTACCACAAGTTCCTATATTTTCATTTTCGTTCTTATTTTTTAATTATCGAAGCGATAAAAATTATATAATAAACAGGCACAATAAAATTCTACAGGATAATATAAAACCTTTAATTAATATTTCAAACAATACTCGATGCAACTGTGTTTATTCACACAAACAAATATTAAAATAATAATATCAATAAGCATCTGTAAATATCATTTTATTGTTCATTGTGTTATTAGGTCAGCGTTAAAATTACAAAATTTTATAATTTTTTTAAGATAAAATTCAGATTACAGTCGAAAAAATTTCCAAAAACATTTGTCTGTAATGTGCGTAATTGCTAGTGTTAATAAGAACATGTAAGCAAATTACTCTGCAGCATCTCGTTAGTTCTATTTTTATAAAATAATTTTCTATACATATTTAATTTTTATACATTACGTTTTTATACGTTACATTTCTATATATCTAATTTAATAACACTTGAACAAAATGTTTTACATATAACTCCAACATCACAATGAAATACATGATAAAAATCATTTGAAAACTGTATTATATAAAATTGTCATGAAGTTCTTGCGTTTTAAAAGTTATGTTTTATGTTTTTATACAAGGTGTGTCAGAATTTGGGGGAATAATAATTTGGGAGATTGATCAGGATGAAATTTTTGAACGTTTTGATATAAGGAAAATATAGCCGGAAATGTAATATAATGTTTCTACAGCACTTTGCGCGTTTTATGCGATCGATATGCTGAATGAAACAGCAGAATACAGTATTTATGACAAGTTTTATTGACAAAACAGTAGAGTACAAGCAAAGTGTACATCGAGTCAGTGGCTACACTACTTTAGAGTAGATTTCAATGTAACGACAACCAATTTCAATTCGTAATGTGCAACGACATATTATGTTTTGTCCGACACACAGTAAAATGCCACACTTCTCTCTGATGGTATTAAATGCTGTACACAACGTCCTGTACACAGCTTCAGTTAGACCACTGTAGTTGTGTGTTTAGAGATATCCATTCGCAGCAATAACATGACGTCAATGGACTGAAGGGTATCTACCAAAGTGAAGGGCGGTCTAGCACTTCCTACCACTGTAGATACTTTAGTTGAAATTTCCGGCTATATGTTCCTTATATCAAAACGTTCAAAATTTCATCTTCTACAATCTCCCAAATTTTTAAAACGTCATTCAGATATAATCTGTATATTGTTAACAATAAACTAAAACTTTTTTAAATAGTTAGATTCCATTAAACGATCCAAAGTTAATGAGTCGTAAATGTATCATCTGCGAAAAAGTTTGTCCATCTCCCGCAGCTTTAAAGGCTCACATTAGAACGCACACTGGAGAACGGCCATTCTCGTGTAATTTTTGCAACGGCACTTTCACTACCAAAAGTAGTTTAAACAGACACATCATCAAAATCCACCCGAAAGAGAAAACGACATCTTGCTCCGAAGTAAGTATATAAATATAATAATAACTTTACTGATTTAACGGGCACACATGGTTTCAATATTTATTCATCGCATATATTTTAAACACGTGTATTTGTTTCATTCGATACTCCCAGAAAATAAGTTTTTTCCTAATTAACAGGATAATTCTTGTTAAAAAGTAACAGCATAAAATATTCTATTAAAGTAAGGTATTTTGATATGTGTGCCAAGAAAAGTTTTCATTTAGTTTTCCAGTTTTATCGGATTGGGTTAGATTTTTCGTCTCTGGGTTGAAATGGATGAATGATGTAAGTGAGTATGTAAAATGTGGGGCACCGAAACATTTAAAAGGCTTACAATAATTACTTAAAATTATTTGAAAAACCTCAACTTTTTCTTCTTTTCATATGGATAGTCCAGCAATAATTAGGCTCTTTCTCCGAGGAGCAGTCACTTATTGGTCACAAACGTCTGGTTCCAGTGACGTAAGTTTCTAGTTTCAACACGAGGTGGCAAAGAGTGATGTTATTCGATGGCTCATACACAGGGTGTATCAAAATGACATTTTAAAAATTCGGGAGATTGGGGAATAAAATTTTAAACGTTTTGATATAAGGAACCTAAAGCCGGAAATTAACGCCTTTACTTGTATACCTCACTTATTAACTCGAGGTGAGCTAAATGAGCTTCTTAGGCATCTAATCGTGTCTAAAATACAGGCTGAACTTTTAGTTTCTCCACTAAACGGTTGTGTTGTCATTTATTTCATCGAACAACTTTTCGTAATCGTCAAGATGGTTTTCAAGATTAGTATTGTAAAGAAAGTGGTTTGATTTATTGCAATAATACCAGTGCTCCGGTGAATGCACTTGATAATAAACATAGTACCACAGAATGGAGACTTTTCATTGATTCGTCTAAAATTAGTTTTAAGGCTGTGCTTTTACCCAATAGAAACAAATTTACTTCTGTGCCATTAGCTTATTTAACACAAATAAAAAATCTATGAAAATATAAAAGTCGTACTTGAAAAAAAGTCATTACCAAAAGTACAATTGAATCACATGTTGTGATTTAAAAGTAGTTGCATTATTAATTGACTATACTAAATTTAGATGCTTCTTGTGTGGGTGGGACAGAAGAGACAAGAAAATTCATTACTTCAAGAAGGAATGGTCAACGAGTGAAATGCTTATTATTGGCCAAAATAAAATCGTTATGCACCATTAGTCAATGGTCATATGGTTCTTCTACCTCCACTTCATGTAAAGTTAACACTTTTCAAAAACTTTATCAATGTAATGATCGTAAACAATGCTAGATATCATTATTTGACGGAAAAATTTCTTCATATAACTGATGCTGAAATCAAATCTGGAATTTTCTTTGGTACACAAATAAGTACTTTAATTAAAGGCAAAAAAATTTGAAAGGTTGTTAAGCGCGGTTCAAAAGTCAAAATCAAAGTCATTCGAAGATGTTGCACAAAATTTCTTGGTTAATCACAAACCTCCAAATTACTGCGAAATTGTGAATGGGCTCTTACAATCTTATGAGGATACGGTATGTAATATGTCACTTAAAATGCATATCGTGGATTTTCACCCAAGTTTCTTCTCGACAATTTTGGTAAGGCTTGATAATTTTTTCCCATGGTAAGATGTTTTGATTGGAACACATGCTGCGTTCCAATCAAAACATCTCTACCATAGGAAAAAATTATCAAGGCCAGTGAAATTTTACAATGCTTGCTGGTTACTGTTAAACACTCAAAAGGCATTTTCCAAAACGCCCAACATAGCAAAAGATTTATCCATTTTATAAAAGATAAATCAATATGTGTGTGAGGTCGGACTAGGAAAGGAGTAAAACTCCACAATTTTATTTAAAAATTTTACGAAAGGAAATTCATTCTTCGTTTTGAAAAGGAAATTTATTTAAATCTCTGAGAAAAGAAAATTTCCATTTTATTACCAGAAGATGAGTGCATTTCTCCTCCTGGAGTCGTTTCCTTTCCCAGGGAACTCAGAATGTGTTACTGGGAACTACAACTTAAAATTCACTATTGGTGGAAAACGACAACATGACTTGGAAATAAAGAGGAAAACTCAAGGAACAGTGATGGGTCGAAAGTCCACGAGAGTATTCCCTGTGTGCCAGCCGAAAGGATTTATCATCATCGCACGTCGCCGAGTGCTCCCTCCCGAACATCCTGTGTTTCTCCGGGAACACCTTCGAAGAACTAACGGATCTCAACTTTCGATAGACTTTAACTGCCATCCAAAGCAACAGAGACATTTTCTAGGCTCCCCAACAACTCCACAGACATCTGGAAATCCGTACACCGTGCTTCAGGTATTTATAACGACGCGCGATGGTAGGTAAGCTCTCTCCCTGCAACTCGGTTCTTGCGAAGAAGCTCTGGGGAAAATACCCTTTTGTAGAACTACTTTAATAAGCGAATTTTGTTATTGATACAATTGTGTTGGATGCACTTCCTCAAGCGATTTCCATCCCGAATCCAACCGCCTACAGACGCGACTGCTCGCGCCTAAATGCGAACGTAACGGTCTCTGCGATCTACTCACATAACACAGTGACCTAAAGACTCTTCGCTGTATCTTTAGGTGATATGCGCTGAAAATTGTTTTAGGTAATTCGTCCGTGTAGCCGTAACACCCGACCCGAAAACAAAATATTAGAACTTGCACCAACTTTAAGCAAATACGAAAGGAGGAAGCGGAAGCGAATAAACTGAAGAACTTAGAAAAAATCCCAGTGTCTTTGAGTTCACGGTTTAAATAGTATTCTAGCGAATTAAGGGTTCCGATTGGTTTGGATTTTTTTCTTCTCTTCCCAATCGGTCGGCACTCCGTTTTCGAATGTTAGGTTAGGTTAATAACGAAAACAAAAAGAAAAAAATAGGTTATCGTGTCAAATTACAACTATCCTAAATAGATCCATTACCATAGATCCATTTCAGTAAGATAAACTATAACTATATAATATGTATTTATAAGAATTATATAANATAATAATAATAATAAGCAACTGTAAACATGAACTCATCATACCTCTTTGAATGTCCCTTTTGCCGATCTTATCCGTGGAGGCACTTAAATGTTCAACTAAAGTTGTCTTATATCCACAGGAACACAATTATAAAAAGTTCGCGACTTTGCGGTAAGCTGTTCTCGTCGATCATAGATCGGAGTTCGGCGGATTCGGAGAATCGGCGCGATGTCGTCGGTCCAGCGTTCGTTAAGAGACTCCCCCGAGAAAGGGAAAGAACTGTCTTTTATAGGTTTTTGTGGGGAATTTCCACTACGTGATTGGATGTTCATGAGTTAAAGGTTATAGGTGTTCCAGGGACTTAAAAAACTGACGAAAGTTGGATGATAACTGTAAACTTTTCTGCAAGATGAGCTGCAAGTTCTGCAGAAAACAATGAATGTTGATAGTTATGACAGGAAGGTTTACACATTCCCGGCTAAGATCTTTTTTTTCTAGTTCGTTACATAAACGAAAGCGAAATAATTACTTTTTCTTGTTAATAAAAGAGCGTAATTTTCGTTACTAAAATTCGTTACTAAAATACATGCGTTCTCCAATACAAAAGATATATGTATCGTTTTGTGTTTTCAATTATTTTTAGGTTCGAAGACTTACGCAATTAAACATGCTTAATATAATCAAACCGTAACAATCAAGAAATTACATTATTTCGGTGCATTGTTGTTTTCCGTTTTAACGAAATTTCGTCTTAGAATCAGAAAACTGAATTCGATAATTGCATCAAAATAAGTAAAGTCAAAATGGTAAGTGAAATCTTTCATTTAATTTGTATAATACATTTTGAATTTTCCAAACTGTTTTATTCAAAATTCACGAAATAACACAAACTATCAATTTCAATTTTATATCGAAGGTACAGTACATATGATTAATATTTTTATCATATTATTAAAATATATAACAATAATTTATAATAATGTGAATAATTCTAATTGAAGTTTTTTACTAATTATTTATATGTATTTAATGAATTGTTTTAAAAGGACATAAAACATCAATGCCCGATATGCGAAAAGGAATTTCGACGTAAATATAGTTTGCAAAAACACATGCGAATTCACACGAGTGAAAAGCCGTATAAATGCAATTCGTGCGGAAAAAGCTTTTCGGATAAGAGCAATTTCATTCGTCATTTGAAAGTGCATTCAAATAAAAAGCCGTTCAAGTGCAATTACTATGACTGTAAGAAACGCTTCAAAAGTAAATCCGAGTTGGAACAACACACGTACGCATTGCATTCTGATGAAATTTTATCTGAAGTAAATATTACCACAAGTTCCTATATTTTCATTTTCGTTTTTATTTTTCAATTATCAAAGCGATAAAAGTTATAAAATAAACAGACACAATATAAGTATATATGATAATATTTTAAACAATACTCGATGCAACTGTGTTAATTCACGTGAACAAATATTAAAATAATAATGATAATAATAAGCAACTGTAAACATCATTATTGTTTTTTTGGCCTGAAAATTTTCGTTGTTTTTTTATTGGTTTCGACGATCATTCAAATATTTTACATTGGTTATGTTTCTTTGTATTTTTTAAGAAAACCCGTTCTTTGTATTTAACCTTTTCCAATTAATTACTCATAAACATTTATAAAGTCGGAAAGACGTTATTCATAAAGAATTCATCAGTGTAATTAATATCCTACGATAAATGTGAAGTATATAACATTTTAATTACAACAATGTTAAATTATTAAGCGAATCATTCTTCACACTTATTAATCTTATAATTGATATTTTTATTGATAAAAACAACATACCTCTTCGTGTTGTTATTTTCTAATTTATTACTTGCATTTTATAAAGTAAAAACACCAGAAAAACTTTTTTTATTTTTCACCGTATTATGTTATTATTTTTTTAAGATTGAATTCAGATTACAATCGAAAATTTTTTTTAAACACAGTTGTTCAATGTGCGTAATTGTTAGTGTCAATAATAAGATCTTATAACTCCAACATCACCACAATGAAATATAATGTGGAAATCATTTGAAAACTATTTTACGAATAATTGTGATAAACTTCTTGCCTTTAGAAAGCTACTTTTTATGTTTTTATATACTGTTAACAATTAAATTAAAATTTTTAAAATAATTAGATTCCACCGAACGATCCGAAGATAATGAGTCGTATTTGTAAAATCTGCAAAAAAGTTTGTCAGTCTCCCGCTGCTTTAAACACTCACATGAGAACTCACACCGGAGAGCGGCCATTTTCCTGTAATTTTTGCAATGCCACTTTCAATACCAAAAGTAGTCTAAACAGACACATCAGAAGCATCCATCTAAAAGAGAAAACTCCATATTGCACCGAAGTAAGTGTATAAATAGGTTAATTAATGACTAAATATTCAACACACAATCGACTATTAAAATGAAAAAAATTATGATAATAACTTCACTTATTTAACGAGCACGCATTGTATCAATGTTCATTTATCGCATATATTGTACACATGTGTATTTGTTTTATTAGATACTCCAAGAAAAGTTTTTTTAATTAACAGGAAAACTCCTGTATTAGAAATATACAACGATTCTGGATTCTTTGTCAAATATCAGCCATTAACGCTTTATTCTATAGCATTACAAATATATAATACAGTATATAATTATCTATTACATATTTTTTTCAATTTACATTTTAGTAAATGTTGTACTGTAATGCTATTTGTGTTATTTACTTTCAGGAATGTACACAAGACGTTCAACGAGAGCAAAAAATATCGCTTGAACAACCATCAACACGTTTTCAAATACCACAGTCAATAGAATTTGAAGAAATTTCATCACAAGATAATCTTTTCACTTCAAAAGAAAGTGAACAATTTCTTGAAAACGTTGACGTCAATTTAGAAACTATTCAGTTGGAATTATCGTCGCCACTGAAATTCTTTCCAGAAATACACGTTGAAGAAACATATTTGGAATGTCCTTTCTGTCGTCAACGATTTTTGGACGAAGTTTCCCTAAAAGAACACGAAAGAAACTTCCATCCGTTTGATTAATTAATTCTGGACAACTAATTTTTCAAATATATTAAATTAATAATATATTAGATTATTTACGTCTTGATATTTAATAACGAAAGCAAAATTGAATACAGTATTCAGTTACAGTTCGTGATATATGTGAAATCGTCGTAGACAGTATACATTTTAATTTAATTTATAGCGAAAATTATATGATAGAAAATTTATAATATTTGAAAAAAACAAAACTTATTAAGTTATTTTTTCAATTTATTGCTTCAGAAAACCAAAACATCCAAACATCGACGTTACACTTAATTTATGTTTTACATTTGTTCGATAAGCTTTAATTGAATAAATTTCAATTCAATTTTAAAAAATTGCACGTTTCTGTCTCTTTTATATCTAAACTATTTCAAGTTAATTATTTACTTTACTTTATTTATCATGTAAGCCATTAGCTTTTTTCAGTGTAAAATGAAAATACAAACAGACCATAACAGACATACAGAAAAAACAATTAACATACAAAATTAAACATAATTCAAGCTTTTGATAGAGTCTTAAGTTGCTTGTAGGTATTAAATTTTTTTGATTCATTTCAATTATATGTTATTTAGTGGATTGGCGTTGTTCCGAGGAAAAATGTTTGTATGTGTTAGTAGGAAACTTTTCTCAGTTGATAATCAACTGACTGTTCAGATAACAAATCAAAAGTGTAGTAATAATTCCATGAAAAACACCAGTACAAAGCACGCCATAGACATTTTATAGAGTATTTGTTGAATCTGCTTTTTTTCTTTATTATGTTCGTGTTTACAACTGCAAAACGCATTTTTCAGTGATTTCCCAAGAAAANCAGAAATAATATAAAACTGTTTTGCTGGTTTGCTCATCATTGATAATTTTTTTTCAAGCAATCTGAACAACAGAATAAAGAAGAGAATTTTTTGAAGACATCTTTTAATAAAACATTGTCTGCACCAGGAAATACAAATAACGAAAACAAGGATGATGCAGACCACAAAGACGATAATCCTAGATTGTCGGTAATAGTATTTCAATGTCATTTATGTTCCTTCAGCACTCGCTCGAATGAGAAATGGTTAAAACATAAGCATTGCCATATTGAAGACATTCCTTCCACGTCAACGGTACTTATTCTATTCGTTCTTTAGAAATAAATTGTACTTTTAAGAATTCACGTTTTAATTGAGTGAACTTTCCACGTAAACTCCATCTTCTGGAGTTGTTTCGCAAATTTAGTACGAACAGAGATTGTTCTGATGTAGGCTCGATGAAAGTTCACTTCCACAATCAAGACAGACAGTATGTACAGTTTATTTACAAAATATATATAGACTACACGAGTTGGGAAATACAGAAAACACAGGATACTCAAAGCGTGGTGCTTCACGTACTAGTTTGGATTTCGAGAACGATTAAGTTTTGGAGAGGTCCTCGTCAGCCTGTACATTTGCTCTACTCCGCGGTTCGTCTGGTCTCAGCATTTAGCTGTCCCTGAGATATCCCGCAGGGAGAGAGAGAGAGAGAGATAGGGGAGTATACTCTCTCTCTCTCTCTTTCTCTCTAACCTCAGCAAACTTTTGAAGTGTATGAGACTTCCCTGTTACCAGTTCAGAGCACTTTCTTACCCTTTCTCCTGCTCGCTCTCTAACTTAAGGACTTTTTGGGCAGGAATCCAGACCAATTACAGATCTTCATTGTAAAGAGCTGTAACCCAGGTAAGCTTGGATCTGTTGATGGTGTCACCCACTTGATTACTCCACCTTGCATGTTGTTTACGACTGGCCAACCTTTGAATTAAATTAGCGAGGCCGGCGCTTCTTTTGCTTTTTTTTTGTTTTACAAGTCAATACGTCACATTGTGTTTTTAAAAATTCACGTTTTAATTAAATAGAATTGTACATTTTGGTTTATGATTTAAATTTAACAGTTCACAATTAACTGTTCGAAACTATGAAAATCTTGTGACATAATTGGTGTAATTAATGGTTCGTTGATTAACTTCGAATCAAGTATTTGATTTAGCTGAGATAGTGGCATAATCGCAAATGATTTATATAAACTTTATTCAGACATTCACAGCAGAAAAATCATTGTAAATGACCTAACAACAAACCATAGTTTGTCTCTCATACAATATTGTAAAAGAAAGAAACTTAATTATACGACTGTAAATCACATAATCAGCGGTAAATATAATTTACGATTCGTGTCAGTTCATGTCGGTAAATATGATAACTCGTACTTAAGTAATTAATCAAATTTACCTAACATTACGCACAATCGGCATTCGAATACAGCAAATTTAATAAATAGTAAAGTCTCGTCGAGTAATATTTTTTTAGAGTTACAAAATTCAGCACTGAACCAACATATAAAGATTTGTGCAGTTCATGAAGAACAGATGATATTATCGAGGAATTAAATAGGTCTGATGTAACCATGCTTGGTTTAACCTTAACTGTTAGACTGAAGACAACATCTCTTCTTAATAATGCTGTAACTGATGGTTGCAGCGAAGATTAGCTTCAACTAATAATTGAATTATTACACCAACGTCATTGCTAACTGCAAAGATCCAAGGAATATATTTTAAAAACACTATTGACAATGAACAGCCGTCATTCACAAATCCTGATGTGACTATCCCTAATTCGTCAATGTAAAAAGAGTGTAGTGTGGAAGTGATTAGTGTTTCTACCGCAAAAACAAAAAGTTATTGAGAAAATGCGAATGCAGGATTAGAAGTTCAACACGAAATTGAAAAAATATCGGAGCTGAATTTTGCCATATCGAAAATACAGAATGTAATAATGCAAGAACAAGAGATATGAACAGGATATGAAGAGATCCGTTATATATATTGGCTGTAATATTAGCTGCTAAAATTCCCGAGTGTTATCACTTGGGAACAAATAAGGGACATTTTTTACAGCTGTATACTAAAATACTATTTGTGTATGTGACTAAACAGAATATACAGAGTAATATTTGGTACATATCCTAGACTCTTCGCGAGTGAAAAAGAAAAACATCGATTTCGCGAAGTATGTAGTACAAAGGTACTCTTGGAGAAAAATATAATTTCATTTTTTGCAAAAATAAAAATATAAATAATTATTCACTTAAAAATGTCACGATGTTTATTATAGTTGAATATATTATACTTTTTTCATGAAATATTTCGGTGTTCTTCTACAAATAATTTTAATAGTAAGCTGAAACATATTATTCGTAGTTTTTTTATTCACTAAATCGTTTTAATATTAATACAATACAATTACGTTATTACTTCATTTTATTATAATTTGTTTACATCTACAAGACATTTTATTACAATAGAAAAGAAAAGAGAATTTTATGATATTTATGAAATTTGTAAACAATTTTTATATGTAATAAAGCTCAGAAAATATTTTGATGAGAGAAAATTTCACCTATGAATTTTTTTTAAATATTTGTAATTAAGTATAAGAATTTTAACAAAATCAAACTTTAAAATTAATACAAAAATTTTAATTTTATCACAATGATCTTACAGGAATCAGAAAAAAGAGACAACGAAGAAGCACAAGCAGCCAGAGAAGGTGGATCGAAGAAAAAGAAATTAGAGATGGTAGAGGCTGATAAACATCCTTTTCATAAGGATAAGCCTTCTTCTCAACAATAATTCTTAAATAAATGAAGAAATAAAAACACGATAAGAAGATTAATAAAAAAAAATTTAATTACATTTTATTTATTCGGCACATTATCGAAATCAATTTAATTATTCGCACTTAATACAAATGTTTAAAATATTGTAAGACACTAATTAAATATACAATCAACAAACGGCATTTATTTAATTAAGTACTGAAAATATTAAGGAAGACGATTGCAAATTGTCTTCCTTAATATGGAAATTTAAGAATTTCCATATTAAGGAAGTCATGGAAATTTATATGAAAAAAATTTAATGGCAAAATTTTAACGTTATTTTAAATGATATTAATGTGAGCATACATCATTATTAGCCACATATTTCAAAATTGTATACAATTGATTTTAAAATATTGTGATTTTTATCTGGTATATTTCATTACAACTTCAGATTTAATGTGAAATTGTGAAATAAACACGTGAAAAATTCAATTTTCGATAGAATTACGAATTGATAACCTAAAAGACGTAGACTGTATGTTTGTGTGTGTGACTTTTGTTTNAAGTCATGGAAATTTATATGAAAAAAATTTAATGGCAAAATTTTAACGTTATTTTAAATGATATTAATGTGAGCATACATCATTATTAGCCACATATTTCAAAATTGTATACAATTGATTTTAAAATATTGTGATTTTTATCTGGTATATTTCATTACAACTTCAGATTTAATGTGAAATTGTGAAATAAACACGTGAAAAATTCAATTTTCGATAGAATTACGAATTGATAACCTAAAAGACGTAGACTGTATGTTTGTGTGTGTGACTTTTGTTTAATCTAGAGAAACTTTTGGTTATATTCATTTTATTTTCTGAGAGAAAGTAAGGGCTATTTATTTTGTATAAATTTTAGCTATAGAGCAAACGTTATGTCGATTTTGGATCAGTGAATTACCTTACTTGCAGTGACGTTAGTGAACACGTAACGTTTGCGCTGGAAAAAGAAATTTTTTTATGCTACAATTTTAAACATTTCGGCACATGCGGTATTTTAAACTAACTGCATTAAAATTAAAATTTAAACTTTAAAAAAATAGCATCATTGTGTCACTTGTAAAAAAACTTTTTACAAATCGTTCTAATTTCGTGCAACGATTTAACGAGTATTTAAAAAGAGTTCAGTTTTATTTTTGTTTTATCAACGTGGAATTAAGATGATTTTGTTACGGTTTTGTTACATGGTTTTGTTACATGGTGTTGTACAGTACGTTACATGGTTTTGTCAAGAACAACACGAGAGAAATCAGAACGTCAACTATCAGTACAATATTAAAGTGTCTATTACAAAGCGAAGACGACAAGGAAATCTTTTAAAAGTCAGTACAGTGTTTCCTCAGAATGTACTATATAAGGAAAGTTTATAAAGAAAGATCTTAGTGTTTTTCAATATATAGGCTTAAATCTGTTTATGTGTGTGTAAGTGAATTCTCTGTGAAACTACTATGATTTTGTTCACTCTAGGTGAAATTTTTTGTTTATTCTTATGTTAAAGCAGACAGTATAAACTGCTTAAATGGCTGACATCCTGTGAGGTCTTTCATTGAAAAACTGTGGTTGTTTATTCGACATATTTTGTGAAAAATTTTTGTATATTTGTAATAAATATTATAAGTCTAACAAATTTTCATTCAAAATTATATTGATATTTAGTTCGTTAAACGCTGTTTATTAAATAGAAATTTGATCAGAAGTTACTAATATTTGAATATTTATATCAAGCACAAATAATAAAAGTGTTTTTGATAATTTGGCTAAAAAAAATTTATTTGAAATTTTCTAAATAAATTATGGTATTACGTTGTCTTTTTTATTTATTTATCAATTATTGTTCACCGGTAGAATAATTTGAAGGAAAAGCATCTTCAGCCTCTAACGTCTCGAATCTCCTTCTGCTTAATAATAGAAGTGTGCTGCCGGCTTCTAGTTCGTCGTTCTCTCTTTCCTGCGATTCCTGTATGAAATTGATCTTAGTGACAAAATTCGAATTTTCTGTTATTTTCAGTGTTTAATTTTCTTAAAATTTATATTTAGGGTCTATATGATATTCATATTCGATTAGCCAGTGTACCTCTTCTTTCTTGGGAGCCACCACCACTTTCACATAATATTTATGCAAGGTAATGAAAGTTATTTAAAGTATATAAAAATTAATTATTAATATGAAAACATATTATTAAAATATGGTAATTGTTTTTACTCATAATTAAATTCATATATAATTTTAAATTAAAACAAATATCTCTCTCTTTGCAATCAAAACAAAAATTTTTAATTATTTTATGCATGATATTACATTCACAAATTTAATGAGCATAGATTAGTTTTAATGTATAACATATATGATCTGTTTTCTTTATTAGTGGAAAAATTTTAATAATTAATTAAATGGTTATTATTAATCATAATGATTTAATATATTTAGAATTATTAAATTACTATATTTTTGAGACTATAGGCTATATGGTTTGATAGGCAGCACTGTTAAAAAACCAAATATTTATAAGATGTTTTTGTTTGATAAGCCACATGGATGTTAGGTTGCAGTGAAAATGTTTAAAATAATCCTAAACTTCCAATAAATAAATAATAATAGTGAGCTTTGAACCACTAAAAAAAGTTTTATTTAGTACTGGTACACAGAAAACAAATATATCATATATGTATATACACAGAAAAGAACTGTTTTTCTCACTCAAAACCTTCAAAATTGCTGGCTCCACTATCAGAGATAGACAGACAATCTTTATTAGATCAGTATCAGAGACAATCAGTTCCATCACTTTTGCTCTAACAATTCNGAAAAAGAAATTAGAGATGGTAGAGGCTGACCAGCAGCCTTTTCATAAGGATAAGCCTTCTTCTCAACAATAATTCTTAAATAAATGAAGAAATAACAACACGATAAGAAGATTAATCAAAAAAAATTTTAATTACATTTTCTTTATTCGGCACATTATCGAAATAAATTTAATTATTCGTACTTAATACAAATGTTTAAAATATTGTAACACACTAATTAAATATACAATCAACGAACGGCATTTATTCAATTAAGTACTGAAAATATTAAGGAAGACGATTTCAATCATGGAAATTTATATGAAAAAAACTTAATGACAAAATTTTAACGTTATTTTAAATGATATTAATGTACGCATACATCATTATTAACCACATATTTCAAAATTGTATACAATTGATTTTAAAATACTTTTAAAAATTTTGTAATTTTGATCTGGTATATTTCATTAAAACTTTAGATTTGATGTGAAATTGTGAAAAAATACGTGAAAAATTCAATTCTTGATAGAATTACGAATTGCTAACCTAAAAGACGTAGACTGTATGATTGTGTGTGTGACTTTTGTTTAATCCAGAGAAACTTTTAGTTATATTCATTTTATTTTCTGAGAGAAAGTAAGGGCTATTTATTTTGTATAAATTTTAGCTATAGAACAAACGTTATGTCGATTTTGTATCACTGAATTATCTTACGTTGCAGTGATGTTAATGAACACGTAACGTTCGTGCAGGAAAAAGAAATTTTTTTAATGCTACAATTTTTGGCACATGCGGTATTTTAAACTAACTGCATTAAAATTAAAATTTAAACTTTAAAAAAATAGCATCATTGTGTCACTTGTAAAAAAAAGACATTTTACAAATCGTTTTAATTTTATGCAGGCGGAAGTAACGATCTAACGAGTATATAAAAAGAGTTCAGTTTATCTTTGTTTTATCAACGTGGAATTAAGACATTGTTATGTCAAGGAGTACAGAAGAGAAATCAGAACGTCGACTATCCGAACAATATTAAAGTGTCTATTACTAAACTTTAGGACGACAAGGAAATCTTTTAAAAGACAGTACAGTGTTTACTCAGAATGTACTATATAAGGAAAGTTTATAAAGAAAGATCTTAGTGTTTTTCA